GCTAATTTTTTGATTTACTGTAGAGATGAGGTCTCGCCAAGTTGCCCAGGTGGGTCTCAAACCCGCGGGCTTGGGCAATCCTCTCACCTCAGCCTCTCAAAGTGCTGGGATTACAGGCTGAGCCACCGAGCCCAGCTAGGGCTATATATTTTTACTGAGTAAGTTTGTTCTGGAATATCATCTCTCTCTACCTAAACCAGTTGTAAGGAAACAAAGTTCACTATAATTAGTATATTAATAAAGAATATTCAATTATAACAAATTAAATACATATCTTATTATAAAGCACTAAAGTTGCCACAATTAAATGGAAAAAAAGGATAATTTTAAACTAAAGGATTTCAAATGCTATTAGAAAATCTCTCATAAAGAACTATGTTTGCTTCTCAGTGTTGAGGAGCTCCAAGCTGCAGCTCGCCTGGGGCCTGTCAGAGAAATATCACTGTAATTGGTATGAGTCCCCAAGTACACTGACAATAATTGAGGCTTATATCCCATGCATTATACTTGATGGCACATCGTATTAAAAAGGAACAAAATGGGGGGGGCGGGGGAAAAAAAGGAACAAAATTATAGAGGCAAGGAGCTGCCATATGATACAGCAAAGCAGTCGCTTTTAGAGGAGGCTTACAGATACAGATTTTAGAACTGAAATGATCCAGTTGATGAAGGCCTGGAAATAAAAAATTCAAAATACCAGCCCAGAAAGCCCTACACTGGGGCAAATAACAAGATAAGCAACAAATAAGATCATGATGTTGCCATCTACTTCATTTGTATATTTGTTTTGTTAAAACAGAAGGTTAGTCGGGCTCAGTGGCTCAGCCTGTAATCTCGCGCTTTGGGAGGTTGAAGTGAGTGGATTGCCTGAGCCCGCGGGTTTGAGACCCACCTGGGCAACTTGGCGAGACCTCATCTCTACAATAAATCAAAAATTAGCCAGGTGTGGTAGCGTGCATCTTAGTTTCAGCTACTTGGAAGGCTGAGGTGGAAGGATCACTGGAGCCCAGCAGGTCGAGGCTGCGGTGGCCGGGAGCAGCCACTCCACTCCAGTCTGGGTGAAAGAGTGAGACTCCAACTCAAAAAAAAAAACAGAAAGTTATCTTAGAATACTTACATATTTTTGTAGTGATGGGATCTTAGTCTGTTGGTCGCCAGGCTGGTCTTGAAATCCTGGTCTCAAGCAATCCTCCTGCCTCAGCTTCCCAGAGTGCTGGAATTTTGTTTTTGTTTTTGTTTTTGAGTTGGAATCTCAAACTGTCACCAAGCTGGAGTGCAGTGGCACTCTCACAGCAACAGCAATCTCGATCTGCTGTGTTCAGGGGATCCTTCTGCCTCAGCCTTTGAAGTAGCTGGGACCACAGGTACACCCCACCACACCCAGCTAATTTTTTGATTTATTGTAGAGACTAGGTCTTACTGTGTTGCCCAGGCTGGTCTTGAACCCCTGGACTCAGGCAATCCTCTTACCTCTGCCTCCCAAAGTGCTGGGATTACAGGCGTGAGCTATCAAGCCCAACCTCTTTTTTTCTTATTAAAGCAAGTCCTCTTACACCGCAGGATGTTACCTCTGAAATGAAAGCTCCTTTCTCCACTGAGTTTGCTCACTCAGCTCCAACTTATCCTACAAGTGTCATCCCTTCTATAATTCCTTACCTGGTCCCCCAAAACAAACTAGAAACAGGTCCCCACTGTGCTCTCCTACCACTGTGTGTACTCTTCTATTAAAACACACTACATGGTATTTTATTTTATTTTATTTTATTTTTATTTTTTAAGTTGGAGTCTCACTCTGTCACAGCCTCGACCTGCTGGGCTCCGGTGATCCTTCCGCCTCAGCCTTCCAAGCAGCTGGAACTACAGGCGCGTGCTACCACACCCGGCTAATTTTTTGATTTATTGTAGAGATGAGGTCTCACCAAGTTGGCCAGGCGGGTCTCGAACCTGCGGGCTCAGGCAATCCACTCACCTAAGCCTCGCAAAGGCGTGGGATTACAGACTGAGCCACCGAGCCCGGCTTACATGGTAATTTTAAATTCCTGGGTCTCATACCCCAACCATGCTCTAACTCCCTGTTCATTTTTGTAACT